CGCGAGCCCCTACGCCTGCGCGGCCAGCGACTCGGAGTACTCGGCCGAGTGCGAGTCGCTCTTCCACTCGACCGTGGTGGACACCAGCGAGGACGAGCGCAGCAACTACACCACCAACTGCTTCGGGGACAGCGAGTCGAGCGTGAGCGAGGGCGAGTTCGCGGGCGAGAGCACCACCACCAGCGACTCCGAGGAAAGCGGGGGCCTCCTCTGGTCCCCGTTCGTCCAGACGCTCCCCATCCAAGCGGTCACGGGCGCGGGCCTGCACGGCCACGCCCAGACCTTCGTCAAGATCAAGGCCTCGCACAACCTCAAGAAGAAGATCCTCCGCTTCCGGTCGGGCTCGCTGAAACTGATGACCACGGTTTGAGGGGCGCGCGGGTGGGACGCGGGGGTCCCAGAAAGAAAGGAGACGCGGTGTTGGTGTGGAGAACGTTCCTGGGACGCTTTTTAATGTTAAAGACGTTCTTAAGAAAAAGTTTTAAAGTTGTTTTTTTTTTTAACTAAGACAAAACCGAGGTAAATTGTGGCCCGTCTTCATGAGCCGTGAGCTCGCGGGCCTGTCACGGAAGGTACGTGAACCGTGGGCGCCGAGGTGGTGGTGGAGTTTGGGGGGTCATCCGCTGACGTCTCTCTCGCGTTTCGGGCGCGTCCCTCGAGGTCCAGGGGTTGCGGTTTACTTCGGGTTGTGTTGGGATGGGACCTTTGGATCTCGTGGTCAGTTGGATGGGATTTCAGGACTTCACCTTGGTTCCTTGATTCCTTAGAGCAGTGTTTTCCTGTTGGAGGGCGTGGCATAGGATTGTGTGACATACGTACGAGTGGTGGACGTCGTTTTTTATAATGTTTTTTATAATTACATACCCCCCTCCCCCATGTTTCCCTATTCTGTACCTTTCTCGGAACTCTTCTGTGTACCAGACCCTAATCCAGTGACCTGGGTCGCGAAGCTGGTAAGGCTTTAAAAAGATTCACTAAAACTTTTGCCGCACCTGGTGCCTAGGCCCTGGGATCCTCCCATTCTAGGGCCATTTACCTACACTTGGGAAGCCTTCTCCCCTTTGCCTAATTTGTAGCAGATCCAACCATTCTCCTCTGGAGGACTGCCTTTGAGACAAAATTCTGGCCCTTGGCTACAGAGAAATTCACTCCAATTGTAGTAACCCTTGGGCGTAACTCCAAGCTCAGAATTGCTCACTGAGCCCTCTGCCATGTAAGCTTTGGCCTGAAATATTAGTGCAATCCAGTCCAGATTGGACCACTGACCCTGACTTTTTGAAGGGCTATTTTTAAGAGTAATTGTTTTGTATACAGTATTGTGTAAAATTGCTTTTTAAAAAAATACCAATATATGCATGTGTGTGCATGAGTAGTTTTTGTTTTGATATTCCCGTTGATGTTAAATTCCTGTATGATATAAGCAGTAATTGTTTTTATATATCGTTGTGTAAATTTAATATAACACATTACATGCTGTAATAAACAATTTGTTTTACTGCTGTTAAGTTTGTTATTTGAGTATAAAACCAGATGTTTACACCCATAAATTTTGTGCTGATTATTATGTTATTTGTGAATTTTATATTAGGCCTATTCTAGCATTATAATACTATTTGCACTAATTAGGGTAAGTTTTAATAGTAGTCTTAGAATGGATAGTGAGTAAGTAAATGAGGAAAGGCAAGCCAATTTTTAAAAGGGATACTTAAGATATCTTAAAAATGTTATGGTAAATTTGTTAAATGTCTTTTAAGGAAAATATTTATGAAAAGAACCCCCCCCCAATATTTTATTCCAAAAAAGTTCCAACAAAAAAGTTGAAAGGATGGTACAAAAAACATATAAATTAGATTCAACATCTGCTAACATTTTACTGTCTTTCGCCCTTAGGTTAAACCATTTTGCTGCTTTTATAGGTTAAGCCCAAAACTGCCCCTTTGGGTTTCCAAGAATGTAACTCTTTTCAGAAGTAGACATCCTCATTTTTTTCCTAAGGAGTGGCTGGCGGTTTTGAACTGCTGATCTTACAGTTAGCGGCACAATGCATATCCCACTTTGCCTCCAGGATGCCTTTTGTAGGTCAAAGATAGCCAAATATTGACAATGCCTCCCACCACACACACACTCCTTACTTAAGGCATCATTGTGACTTTTGTCCCTAGAACTTTAGCATGCATTTCCTAAAAAGCAAAAACAAACAAAAATAGGTATTTTCCTAGGTAACAGTATCAGTAGAAAAATTAATAGAAATCAATGAGTATTTATATTTTAAATTTCCAATTTGTTGTAAGAGTTTTGGAAATGGCATCATCTCCACCAGCTAATAAAGTTGCATTGGGTTTGGTTGTTAAGTCTCTAATTTAGTCTTTTTAATCTAGACGTCTCCTCACTTTTTAAATGACATTGCCTTAATTGGAGAGTTGAGGATGGTTGTCTTCTAGACCTATCCACCAAATTAGGTTACTATGTTGCCTTCTATATATTCTGAAGCTTGCTTGGATTTTGGTTAAACCTTGTTGGGAAGATTTTATTGGTGATAGGTACTTGGTATTCCTTCATCTCAAGAAACGTAGTATCACCATTACTGACTTTGAGTGGTCACTTGGTTAAGTTGAACACCATATTTCTCTGAGATAAAGACATTTTTTATTCCTCGCAAAGAACTTATTATTTGTGGGTAATTATTTGATTGACGTCTACTTTATTTCTTAACAACTTTTCCCTTCCTTTAATGACTTATTACCTTGCAGTGCAAGGTGGTGGTTTTCTAAGTGTCTGGCCTGCTCTCTCTCTCTCTCTCTCTCTCTCTTTAATATCACTAGGGATTTAATTATTTTGTTTAATATGTTAAAATCACATTCTTTGTCATACCCAGCATGTCCCAAATTTGCCCAGTGTAGAAAAAAGTGTTTGCTTAGCTTCATAATTCATGTGTTTATTGTGAAATGTATCCAATTAATACTAATTTTTAGATGCAAAATTTTATTTATTTATTTTTAAATCATTTTATTAGGGGCTCATACAACTCATCACAATTCAAACATACATCAATTGTGTAAAGCACATTTGTACATTCATTACCCTCATCATTCTCAAAACATTTGTTCTCCACTTAAGCCCCTGGCATCAGCTCCTCATTTTCCCCCCTCCCTCCCCCCTCCCTCATGAACCCTTGATACTTGATAATTTATGAATTATTTTGTCATATCTTGCACTGCCCGACATCTCCCTTCACCCACTTTGTTGTCCGTCCCCCAGGGAAGAAGTTATATGTAGATCCTTGTAATCGGTTCTCCCTTTCCACCCCACCCTCCCTCCACCCTCCAGGTATCGCCACTCTCACCACTGGTCCTGAAAGGATTTTCTGTCCTGGATTCCCTGTGTTTCCAGTTCCTATCTGTACCAGTGTACATCCTTTCCTCTAGCCAGATTTGTAAGGTAGAATTGGGATCATGATAGTGGGGGGCAGGAAGCATTTAGGAACTAGAGAAAAGTTGTATGCTTCATGTTTGCTACACTGCACCCTGACTGGCTCGTTTCTTCTCTGTGACCTGTAGGGGATGTCCAGTTGCCTAAAGTTGGGCTTTGGGTCTTTATTCCGCACTTCCCCTCATTCACAATGATAGGATTTTTTGTCCTGATGATGCCTGATACCTGATCCCTTCAATACCTCGCACAGGCTGGTGTGCTTCTTCCACGTGGGCTTTGTTGCTTCTGAGTTAGATGGCCGCTTGTTTACCTTCAAACCTTTAAGACCTCAGATGCTATGTCTTTTGATAGCCAGGTACCATCAGCCTTCTTCGCCCACCACATATGCTTATGCCGATGCTACATTTTAAATGCAGCAAAAATTCCCTAACTCTCTTGATTTAAACTGCCTTGGAAGCTTGCTTCATATTCTTAACATGCCTCTTGTTTCTAACAAGGCGTTTATTTTTGGAACACGGTGAATTGTTTCCCCGTGGCTTATAAAGGTATCCTTTTTAGCAAGACATTACAAGAAACTCAGTTCTTCAAAGTGCTGTAGACTTGTCTTTTACCTTTCATGTTTTTATATGTAACTAGTCATGCTGTATAGACTAGAGTTTTCTTTGATTACCTGACCAAATCGAAGCCAGGCACAAGTAAGGAGATGACCTCACCATTTTTCACCCCATTCTGTGATCTGATTTGTGATTGGGGCATGACTGTGAAGTTTGTCGTGTAAGTCTACTGTTCCTTGCAGTCAGCTCATGAATCAATTCCAAGTTGTTCTCAAAGAGCAGTATTCTTAGAAGGGGACACTTGCAGTAAACCGAGTTCTGAATAATTACGTTCTAGATGACTGAAACCAAAATAGTATGAAAAGAGGGATTTTCAAAGAACTCTGGGTTTGCCCTCCTCATTGGCTATTGGACTTCCCAGTAGCAGTTGTACCGTACTTGGAAAGTGGCCTTTGTCCATGGTTTTCGGTGGCAGGATAGCCGCAATTGTTACAAATGAGTTCTTTAAAGTATTTAAATTTTTAAAGGAAGTGTTCCTTGACCCACCACCCCCCTAAAAAACCCCTCCACAAAACCCCTGAAACAGTATACAGAGGTTTAAAACACTTTCCCCTTTGTCTAGTCTAAATCCTACTTTTCTTTTTTTGTTTGTTTTTTGTTTTTGTTAAATCCTACTTTTCAATGTGTATATAATCTCATACATTGTTACATGCACATACCAATAGATCTTTTGTACTTTCTCTTAAAAAAACATTTCAAGCTGTATGTAATATTCTATAATTTACTTCTTTCATTTCATAGACTCAGTATGGTAGATATCCTTTCCAAATCTTTTTAATGTGGTTCCAACTATTTTCTCATTGAGGAAATGACCAGATTTTATAGAACACTTAAAAGAGTTTTCTATGCATTGAAAAATTCTAATATTTTACCCAAGTGTCCACACATACTACCTTTCGGTTTCCTCACATATTTTATTAGTTTGTGTTGTGAGCTTGCTTTCAGTGGAGAGTTATAGTGGTGATCCTTTAAGGCAGGGTTCCTCACACTTTTTAAATGGGGCCAGTTCACTGCCTTTAGACCCGTTGGAGGGCCGGACTATAGTTTTAAAAAAAACTCTAAACAAATTCCTGTGCACACCGCGCATATCTTATTTTGAAGTGAAAAAACAAACGGGACAAAAACACCTGGTGGGCCGGATGTGGCCCGCTGGTCGTAGTTTGAGGACGCCTGCTTAAGCAGTGGCTAAGAATTTTTCCAGATATAGGACTTTTGGTGTTTTATATGCCTTGACTGGGCTGCTTACTAAGTTAATTTATCTAATTTGGGGTCCCAGACAACAGACAAAAGTAGTAGAACTTCAATTTTCAAACTCATATGAGGATAGAGACCTTTCCATTATCCAGAGCTCAGGCCAAGACAGACAAGCTCCCTGATTTTACCAATCCAGCCTTTTTCTGAAGATACAGCTCTTCAGAATACCAGCAATATGGAGAAGTCTCAATTCCAAATCCTACCATGTGAGGGCCAAACCCTTGACCTTGTGTGACTGTCAAGGGCTCAGTCCCTCACGTAAGAGACTAGCGCCCTCTGTCCTTACGTAACCAAGAGGAGGTGGTGCAAGCGGTTCACATCCCCATTCACTGCTCAAAGCCTTTGCTGGGCTGGCTTTCACCACCTGTCAGTTTGTTGTGCTGTGGTAACTTGTGTGTTACTATGATGCTGGAAGCTGTGCTACTGGCATTTCAGATACCGGCAGGGCTACCCATTTAGACATGACAGTTCAGCAGAGCTTCCACACTAAGACATACTAGGAAAAATGCTTAGTGATCTATATTTCTGAGAATTACCATATATACTTGAGTATAAGCCGACCCAAATATCAGCCAAGGTACCTACTTTTACCACAAAAACTGCATTAAACATGTGCTGAAACACTCGGCTTATACACGAGTACATATGGTAGCTAATGAAAACCCAGTGGATCACAACAGATGATTGTCAGATGCTTGGTAGTGCTGGGAGATGGGCCCTTTAGATTGGAAGGCACCCAACATACGCAGTGGCTGCTACACAGGGCTGGAGCTCATCAGTGATCCTGAAGCTAGCACAAGACGGACAGTGCTTTGTTCTATTGTACACAGTGTCCCTGTGAGCCAGAGCCTCCCTGAAGTAACTGATAACGTTGCTTTGGGTCCATTCCTTGCAAACTTGGCTCAGTCATTTTGCCTTATGGCACAGAATGAGGTAGCTCTAGCCCCACCTCCTCGTGTGTGTCCTCATTTCCTCCGTCCTCCAATGTCCTGCTTCCCTTGGCACATTGCACTGCCACTGAGGTACAGCAGGGACCGTCCTCAGGACAGAGCTGCTTGAAAAGAGGAAACGAAGGGGAAGCTTACCCACCCCCACAGCCCATCTGCTCTGGTTTTCGCAGGCCTCAGCTCCGCGGGGTCCCCAACTCCTTGCAGAGTTTTATCAGAGTTTTGAGCTGTCATCAGTGCTGGGAGAAAGGACTCTCACTGTCCTGGCAAGGACACAACCCCACCAACTCAGACCCAGAAATGGTCTGCCCAAGAGCCGTCCTGCAAGCTCCCCATTGAGCACCGGAAACACACACACGCTTGCTGTGTCCCTGGTTTTGAAAATCTCAGGCAATGTCATTGTTAGGTGCCATCTGGTCCATTTCAACTGATAGTGACCCCACGTGATAGAGTAGAACTGTCCAAAGGATTTTCTAGGCAGCCCTGGTGCCAGAGTGGGTTACGATATTGGACGCAGTGTGAACCTACCAGCCACTCGGCGGGAGAAAGGTGGGGTTTTCTTCTCCTGTGCAGATGGACGGCCTCAGCAAGTCCGGGCAGTTGTGCCCTGCCCTACAGGGTTGCGGCATGTGATTCAGAATGGAACCCCTGCCGCTGAGTTTGGTTGTGGTTTTTGGAATCTTTCAGGAGCTGATCACAGGGTCTTTCTCCTGGGAAGCTGCTTGGGGGTTTGAAAAGCCACCCTCTGGATTAGCAGCTGAGCGCTTAACTCTTGAGCCACCAGAGCTCTTTTTCAGTAACAGAGCTGCTCAAATCAAGGAAATCCTTTGTCTTTGTTGAAGGGAGTGTGCCTGTAGTATTGTCACAATAAGATGTATTTTTCTTTGTCTTGGGTGCAAACTTTCAATTTAGAGGTCGAAGGTTAGCTATGCCATTGCTTAGTGCTTCCCGAAAGCCCCTTAGAAGTGAGGATGGTGATACTTTGTCACATGTGCTTTGGACATGCTATGAGGAGAGACCAGTCCTTGAAAAAGGACATCACGCTTTGTAAACTAGAGGGTCAGCCCCCAAGAAGGAGACCCTCCATGAAATGACTTGACACGGTGG